CACAAAAGCAATATGTATATATGTATGTATGTACATAGCTAAAACTAATGACACTGTTATATTGGCTTAACAAAACCGACGACGTGGTTGCCAAGACAAATGAGCTTCTGCCTTTAACATGATTATCGTTTTATTTCATATTAATTGTTTTACTTTATTTATTTAATCTTATGTGTATGTATGTATGTATGTATATGTGTATGTATGCTTTTATCACACGCGCTTCTATTTTTTTCTTTTTTCTTTTTTTGCAAATTTATCAATTGTCTAACTTCTTTTTCCGCTTTCAACCAATGATGACGTCAAGAGTAGCATTCAAGTATGAGCAAACATGTGTTGAGAACAACAATAATAATAACAACAACAACAATAAGTAATGTGCTAGATAAGTACACAGTTAAAGAATTATTAAAGCAAAATAGTTAACGAATTAATTTAAATATATACATATACTATACATATACTCGGATGTATATATGTATGCACAAACATATAAAATAAAATATCGGTTTGCATATCGGCGCTGATGACTCGTGTGTAATATTAAGCGCTGTACTTAGCGTACGAGTAGTGACGTTTTAGCAGTTGTCTTACTCAATTCGGGGCTCATGGTGTGTGTGAAAGGGTGTTTTTTTTAGGCATGTGGTTTTCAAGAATAAATAAAACGCATATAACTTAGTATTTTAACCAAAAATTGGCCTTATCATAAAGATAAGGGTTTGCCATTGTGTTTTCTAACTGATAGCGGTTAAGTGACCGCCCCGGCTAGCTCTAGTAAGTTCCAGATGAGGGTACTAAAAACCGAATATTTATCTTTCAATCATTTCGGGCTTATCTGCGTAGAAAAGGAACTTCATATAATCCCTCAGAAAATATTCCAACGGCTTTTATATACATCTTCTTGGAGGCCACGTTACAGCCCCACGAAGCGAGATAATGTGCTCACCCAAAGTTTCCAACCAAAGATCGTCCACATTAATCATGGCTCTTCAGTGTTCCCCATTGTCTGTAAAATTATGGTCGGCTTCATTTTTGAAGAAATATAGACTAAAGATTCCCACTGTTCATGGCGCACACTAAACACCACACACTTTTTGAGGATATAACGGTGTCTCAACAAAACTTGCGACTTATCATCACTCCAAATGTGACAATTTTGTTTTAACCAGACCAAAGCAAAAGTTTCTTGTGGATATCGATACCGTTGGAAATCACTTTTTGGTACCATTCACCGAAATGGTGACGAGACTGATGGTATCCCATAAAGTGTATAAGCACAGCTCCAATTGTTACGAGGGATGGTGGATAGGCCTCCTGGGGTCTTCTCCAATATTTAGCAGCAGATCAGCCATAGCGTCCTCGATGCGCACTGTTTGACGTTTCTAAGCATTATCTACTAGGGTGAGCACCGTGCGTAACCGTTACATGGTTGTTCGAACTACCGACTCTGTTGGACCATTATTTTAGTAATAAATTTGTTTGTTTTGTAAATATTGTCAAAAGTCAGTTTATTCATAATGCAATGGCAAACCAAACTGAGTACATACAAATGCAATACAGGTTTTATAAAGACCAAATCCATAACTTTTGGATGTTGGACACCGGGATGTGAACACGAGCCTACCGAATGTCAGTATGCAATGCTAACCGCGGCCGCAAAAAGTATTGCCTGATTGAAAACCTCCCTCCTCTAAAACAATCACCCTTTATATCGTATTTGGCATTTTATTGATAAACAAATTAAAATATTTTTATTTAACATGGAACTCCCACTCTAGTGGGATTACCCCAAATTAAAAAAAAAGAATGACAAAGAAAGAAATTGAATGTTTAATTCCTCGTGAATCATAGCTATTTTATGGACATAGCTTGAGGGGACTCACCGTTATGATACGAGAGAATCAGCAAAAGTTCGGTAAGTTTACGAGGAAAAAGATTTCTTCTTCGTTTTTACCTTCTCTACATAATCGCCATTGATTTCGATGCATTTCTTAAGCTTATGGATCCACTTCTGAATACAGTCTTCAAAATCTTGCTTTTTAAGCTTATCAAGTTCCGCATTAACAGTATTAATTATCTCCTGGTTGGAGTTAAAGATCTTTCCTATTAAATTTTTTTTATGATTTTCGGAAATATACAGAAATCACAAGGCGGGGGATATGGTGCTGGACGTATTTCTTCGATTTCAGATGTCGCTATAAAATTACTCGTTGTTTCAGCAGTGTGGGTTGGGGCGTTGTCATGATGTAAAAAGTGGCGCCGCAAATCCTCTTTCTTTCTACTTTCCAACAAATTTTTTAAAACATTTGGTAAACACTCTTCGGTTGCTGTTATCGTCTGACCCTTTCTCAGTGGAATAGCAGCTACGATTTTAGTTCGGGTGAAGTAAACTAACATCATTACTTTTGCTGCTGATTTTTGTTGCTCAGATTTTAGGGGTGGGGGTTGCTCCAGTTGGGCTCCATACCAGGGACTGCTATTTGGTTTCTAGATCGTACTTACAGAACCAAGATTCGTCACTAGTAACGACTTTACTAAAGTTGATAGACTGACAATTTTTGAATTTGTTTACGAAAAATTGAGCGAAATACACTCCAGCCTTTTTTTTTTGGGAATCATTTAAGATTCGTGGTACTCATCGAGCAGATTTCTTGTATACCAGATGATTACGTAATATTCGCTACACACCCATTAAACTCAAGCCCAATTTATTTGCAATCATTTCGTGTATGCCAGTCGTGGGTTTTCGTCAGTTTTGGACCTCACCAGAGGTACAGTGACATCATGAGTGGAAGATTTTGGTCGACCTTCTCGGGGCTCCCGAGTGAGTTTCTGTTTGCGTTGGTGGTGAAATTTCGTCTGATCTATCGTCAGCTATCTTGAGTTTCCTCGTCTCCATTTTAGACGATTGTTTTAAAAAAGAAAGACTAAAAAGTAATTGGAAAATATTTGGTATTTTTGATCTAACAAAAACAAATTGAAAGTCAGGAACTGACCGAACTTTTGTTAATCCCTTCGTATGTCGTATAAACTAAGATCGCTTAATTATATTGACATAGTTCAGCAAATCAGAAGGACACCCCAGCTTTGAGGGCTTTCGATGCGGTACCCGCCGGGGGAGACGATGGAAGAAGATCTCCACTCCTTTGGAAAGTCCATTTTGAGAAGTACATGGTATCTCCAATTGGCGCCAAACAGCGGGAAAAAAGATGAAAGGCGCAATGTTACCAATTCGGCTATTATGGCGTAAGGGGTATCCACGCCAGCAAAGAAGAAGAAAAATTTGGGTAAGCGCCGCCTATGTTCGCCAATAAAGAATAATCCAAATATTATATACTTGCAACTTTCTTAAAATCTTTATAAATACAAATCTGGCCTCCCAGAGGAAACGAACTAAAAAACACTGTTTATGTAACGCATATCTTATACGAATAGATATCACGTATACGCCCTGTACGATACGAGAGGGTTTGCTGTGGCAGGCACCCTATTTGTTGGTAACACTACCTGTGGCAACTCTTCACATGTCATTGTTGTAATTGTTAGTAAATTAATATTTATCAATTTAGGTAACAAAAATTATAATAAAGAAAAATCACTTACAACAAAAATTGAGGAAATTATCTTTTGCTGCCCAAAGACCAAAATTTATATGAGCCTTCAAAATTGAACACTTAATGAAACCGATACATAGGATTACTCATTTTGTGTTTTCAAAAATACAGAGCTTTATTTCATGTCCGAAATACACTCGGAGGGTTGACATTAACTGCCGAGGGGCGACGGCTATACGAAAATTAAGCTAAATTTTTTATTTAAATTAATTTTCTATAAATTTTTGGATGTTAGTACGACACCAGGATTTAAACAGGAGCCTTCCAGATGGCAGCATGTGGGAGTGACATTACAGACATTTGAAGTGTGTGGATGGATTACAGATATTGTAAGGCATCAGGTGCATTATCATTTTGCTCGTTCCACCTCAAATATCGCTACTCTAAGTGAAAGTACAGCCGAAGACCTGAATGATTTTATTACTCGACGGTCTCAAGAGCTGGGAATATCTTTTGCAACTATATGGCATATCTTGCACTTGAACTTACACCTATATCCATATAACGTCCAGCTCACACAGGGGTCGTAAACTACCTCTAAAACAACGAAGTTTGCAAAAAGTGGCGAGGCGATCTTTTGACTAATTTATAATGCCAAAATGCATTTTTTTACTTTTATTTTCCAAACTGCAAAATGGATAGGCCTTTATGTGTCTCACTAGAACTGTGTGGCGTAATCCACTAAGGTGGACGTGAGGCAGCAAACGTGCCTACTCGTCAAGCCAAATATTGCTGTGTCATATGAAAAAACAATTATAATAACAATAAGATGCTGTAGGCTCAAAAGGTACACAAAAACGATAAAAGCCCAGTAAGCATGTGAGCATATAAAACCAAAAGTAAAGAAATAAATTAAAAGGAAAAAGTTCTTAATTTTTTTTATTTTTATTATTATTTTTTTTTGTTTTCATACAAAAGTTAACTTCTGTACATAATCATGTATGTAGGTATATACATATATATTTATGTATTTAACATATATTATGTATTTAACATTGCTTATCTTCACTGTCTAATATTTGCCAACAGCAATGTTGGTAACTGTGACCGTCACGCAATGTTTGTGTGTACACAACAATAGCAAAAAAGTAGTAAATTTGAATAATAATTTTATCAAACTGTTTGTTTATGCCATTTTATCAACTACCTGTTTACGCCAACTTTTCAGTTGAACTCTTTAATTTATTGAAGTAAAATAATATTTGTAATTGGATTTAATTAAATTCGGTGGAATCTGTGGAGCAAAAAATATTTTAAACAAAATATTTACTAATATAAATTTTCGTAGAAAATCTTACTGAGTTTATCAATTTGTTATTCAAGATATTTGTTTTCTTAGAAACAATTCATAGCAAATAGATTTATAATTTTGGTTTTCCACTACAGAATTGGAATGGACCAACAAATCAGTATAAGCTTGAGGTTCTACTGACCGCAGACAACAATAAAGTGAAAGCTGATAAATATATTCAAAGTCAGGAAGCGCTTGTAGACCCAATCAACGTCGCCCTGCTTAAAATCACTCTGCTTAGGGTGCGCTATAACAAGGAAGAGTCGCTTTGGAATCTGCAAAAAAATGCATTTACCGTAATTTAAATGTAAGGACAACTTTCAAATACATTTTCAAACCTGAAAAATCGATTGAAATCTCCAAAATCACTTGCGTTTAATATCACATATAGCTGAAATAAAACATTCGTTCGGTTTTTTTTATTAATTTTTCAAAATATGATAATTTTGTGTACATTTGTCCAATTTATCAAATATGCGCCGTTTTGTTCGTTAACTTGTTGTCAAAGAGATGCCATCTTCATTCTACCCCTCTGGTAGAAGGCTGCGTCCCTATTGGCAAAAAACTTGGTGAGCCATTTTCACAGGCTTCTCTTGAGGCCAACTTCTCACTATTAAGCGCGTTCGCCATGGACAGGAAAAGATGGTAATCACTTGGTGCCAGGTCCGGACTATAAGGTGGGTGCATTAGGACCTCCCATCCGAACTCTTGAAGCTTCTGGCGCGCTACCAAAGACGTGTGTGGCCTGGCGTTGTCCTGATGGGACACAATTCGGCCTCTGTTGATCAGAGATGGCCTCCTCTGGATGAGTGCTGCCCTCTAGCGTTCCATTTGTTGCCGGTAGAGGGCCGAATTGAGCGTTTGGCCATAGGGGAGCAGTTCGTAGTAGATGATTCCTTGCCAATCCCACCAAATACTCAGCAAAACCTCTCTGGCCATTAGTCCGGTCTTGGCCACCGTCTGGACCGCTTCCCCGAGCTTTGACCACGACCTTTTGCGCTCGATGTTGTCGTAAGTGACTAAGTTTTCATCGCCAGTCACAATCCGCTTCAGAAACGGGTTGATTTTGTCGCGCGTCAGCAGCGATTCGCAGATGGAAATTCGGTCCAACATGTTGTTTTTGCTTCTTTTTGAATCCAAGGTTAAGCAAATGATTCCAAACGGTTTTCTGGCTTATATTTAGTTCCTCAGCAATTAAATAAAAACTCACGTGACGGTATGTTTCCGCTATTTCCATGATTTTATCGCAATTTTCGACCACAGGCCTCCCGACGCGTGGTACATCTTTGACAACGAAATTATCGGAACGGAACCTAGCAAAGCACTGTTGTGGAGGCTGCTCCTTTGCCGTTAAACTCTTAATAAGGGCCTGTATTGTCAAGAATTAATCCTTTCTGAAGGTAGAAATCGCCAAAAAGTTCCCAGCTTTGGCTAAGTGGAGGGGAGTTGTGTTTCAAGGAGACAATTCCAGTCCACAGACTCGGCACAAGGCTCGAGAGCTTGTTTGAAATATTATTATGGATTCACCTTATAGTTCGCATCAAGTAATTACCATGTGATACTATTTATGATGAATGATTTGGCTGGTAAAGAATTGGCTAATTTTTCTTAAAAATTACCGTCAATAATTTAAAATTAATATTTTTCTTGAAGTTTTCAATTTATCTTCAAAGTTGGTATGTAGCTGTTACTTGAGTTATACTCGCTTTCGTCTTCCATTTCATAATGAACGGACTTGCCACGGAACAACATTTGCAAATTATAAAAATTTATACCACAATATTAGTTCGGTTGCGCTGTGTCCAATATTCGGTCAGTAGGATCACCCCGCAGAGGAAGTATTTTGAGCAACAACAGGTCGATATCACGCTACGCATACTCAGAGATGTCGTACAGTATGTCTATTCGACAACGCGCGCAACAGTTGGAGTCATACCCACCCACTTTATGGAATATTTGACGGAAGTATCTTGTTTTACGGGCTTACAAGTCTCAACTCGTTGAAAGAATTGCAGCAGAATGAAACAGTACAAGCGCATCGCAGACTCGGTAAATGGACCCAAAGCGAGATTTCCATCGATCTCGATTTTAACAAGAAAACAATATTCAGCGATGAAGCTCAGATTTAGTTCAATGGGTACGTTATTGAACATAATTGTCGCATTTGGCGTGAAGACAATCCACAAACTAAGTGAGCTCGATTTGCAGATGGAATTATTAGTTGATATTTTTTTTTTTTAAGTGTAGTCGGTCATAATGACACAGTCAGTGCGGAACTTTATAAAGCCAACGAGGCAATCAAATTATTGAAAGAAACCTTTGATGAGCGCATTATCCTGCGTCGTTTGCCTGTGCCGTGGCATCCAATATAGTGCGATTCAACACCCTCGGACTGTTTTTGGTGGCGTTACGCGAAGTGGCTCCTCTACGTAGATAAGCTCAGGACGACTGACGTCTTGCCAGAGAATATTTGGCGGGGTATATATATGGTATACAGCACCGATTATTGCAAAAAGTGGTCGCAAATTGCACCTTTCGGCTGGACTTTATTCGAACCAGCCTCGTTGGTCACTTGGTCACCTGCACGAAGTCATTATTATAACATAATGGCAAAGCATTATCTTTATAATATAACTAACTTTTGGCCACAGTATTAAATTATATGCGGTTATTTTCTTCTTGAAACCACTTTTTGGGGGAAAAAAACACCAACGTTGGCACAACAACTGATTAAACATTAAACAGATTTTCATTTCGTAGCTGGAAACGCCCACTTTTTTGCCGAACAAATTTCTCAGCGCCTCCCAAGAGGCAGCTGAATTTATTACAATTAAATAAACAAACAATTTTTTTTTTCACACTCACACTCAGCACATTGAGTTATTGTATCAACTGTTGTTGTTGTCGTATTTATGTTTATCGCTTTAAATGCTAAACTTACATATTTTCAAAATAAAAGCGCCAAGTTGATATTAGACTCATACTTTTGCCCTTGCAAATTGGCACATCTGTTCGTTTGTTAGTTTCTTTTTTTTTTTGTATAGAGTGTGCATTTGTTGTTGTAGTATTTAACTCATGATATCTTTATTGGTTGTTTGTTTACATTAATTTGTTTGTTTAACTAATTTGAATTCAGTACAAATATCTAAAAACTTGAGCAGAAAACAACACCTCACATTGTATCAATGTTTATACAGCTACATATTATAAATATGTACATACACGGTGTGTCCCAAAAATATCCGAACTTTTTGGATATAAAATAAAATACACATTATGATATCTTTGAAAGTTATTATTTATTCAAAATGCGTGTAGGTTCCATTTGACTCAACACAACGTTTGGAACGATCAACCAGCGCATGCATAGATATTTTTATGTCATTTATAGAAATGTTCTTCAGTACCTCGGTTACGGCTGCTTGAATGGCTGGGATATTATCAGTTTTGGATATAAAAAATAGTCACATGGTGATAGATCAGGCGAATACGGAGGATGGTCGATGAGAGAAATCCCTTTTTTCATTAAAAATTCGAGCGATTTTTTGGTCGTCATTTAATTCATGTGGAACAAATTGCGCACAGACCGTTCTTTTCCCCAAATCTTCAGTTAAAATTCTCCAAACAGTGTTTTTACTCGTATTCAATTCCTCAGCCAACATTCTCGTAGTAAAATTTGCATCGGTACCAATGATTTCACGGACTTTTTCCACCAGTTCAGCACGATTACTAGTTTCTGGACGTCCTGCTCTAGGGTCGTCATTTAAATTCTCACGACCATTTTTAAATCGTGTAAACCACGTATTAACTAGCGTACGACTCATACAATCATCACAATAAACTTTTTTCATTCATTTTTTTGTCAAGTTTGACATAAAATTTTATATTTGCTCTTTGCTCCATTTTATTTTTGAACCATTAGCACACTTTTGGTTTTATTGAAATGGCTGTCACTTTTACATAGGTGCGTTTGAAAGAGGATGAATGTATCTTTTTAATGTTGCAAATTTTCAATAGATGGCGCTGTATGTTGTCTGATTTGAATATAAAGTTCGATTAATTTTCGGACACACCTTGTATGTACATATGTAACTGTGCTTTCTATTTTTCTATAGTATTCTTATTATTTTTCAAGCGTTGTTACTTCTTACGTACATGCATATATGTATTGGCAGTGGATAAACTTTCTAGGAGGCCTGGCTTGAGAGCACTGTTGTGTACATGATACAACAATTTAAAGGTGGTTTCATTCGCTCTTCGCAGTCGGCTTCATAGCTATGTGATATTAAATGTGTTTCAGTTTTTCGTGCTGCCCTTTTCTCTTCAAAAAATAAAATCTACCATTTTTATATAAAAAATATGTGGACAATTTTCATATTTTTTTTAATGTTCAAACATTCAAAAATTACGTTTTACATGGTATTTTCAATCTATGATGGTGGAACTCATCGAGTGTATGCCTTTCATGATTTTTGTATTACAACTTTAGTAAATTGTAAGAAAGTATCAGAAAGTGAAGAGTTTCGCCCACCAAAATTTAAATCGAATCCAAGAAGATGAGCAGTTGACTGGATTTCCTCACCAGTCTGACAGTTTTAGAGATGTTTTAAGGAAGTTTTGTAAGCAAACCGGATATTGTTTGAATAAGTGTTGGTTTTTAGAGCAGTGCAAATTCATTATAAAGATCTTATAATTACGCTTGTGGTCGATTAAACTTCCAAACACTTTTGAATTTCAAACTAACCGCCAAATATAGTGATATTAGTCAGCTAGTTAATTAAATAGCTTGTTCGACTACGCAACCCTGATCACTTGATTATACCTATGTTGGTTCTATGAAGAAGATTCCTCTCTCCATTCTAGATACTCAAACGACTTGATGTATTTTACGCAGCTCAGCAGATTAATGATGCCTAGGCACGCAAGCTATGCTAAGCAATCGAAGAAGAAATTTTCGAGAAATCGATAGACTACGAACTATTGGCATATAGTTGAGAAAATCTAAAAGCCATAAATTCGAAAAAAAAAAAATCAGAAATGGCAATTTTGTCCATATCATTTATATATCTAGCAAATCCCTTTCTTACTTTTGCCACCTATGAAAAACGGCACGAAGCAAATATTTTAATTCTTAGCGTCTGCTTAAAAAATAACCCCAAAATATTTAAGAACTTTCCAGATTGAAAATTTTTTAAGTGGCAATATCAAACATTTCTGAGCAAACACGTTTAGTGTCAAAAAATTCAAATATCAAATATCATGAGAGCATGAAACTATTGGGTTGCCCAAAAAGTAATTGCGGATTTT